ACCACTACCACTACCAGTACCAGTACCAGTACCAGTACCAGTACCAGTACCACTACTACTACTACTACTACTACTACTACTACTCCTGCTACTACTACTACTACTACTACTACTACTACTACAACTAACTGCTACTGCTACTGCTACTGCTACTGCTACTACTACTACGACTACTACTACGACTACTACTACAACTACTAGTACTACTACTAGTACAACAACTACTACTACTACTACTATTATTATTATTATTACCACTACTACTACTACTACTACCACTACTACTACTACTACTACTACCACTACTACTACTACTCCCTGACCCTCGAGTTGCTGTGTATGGAAGGTTTCGGTCTAGAGTCTATCAAACAACGTCTTTGTGCGAGATAAGACATTTGGGGGCGAAAGATTTTATCGGACAGAAACAGGTTGATATCGTGCTTGAGATGTCATGATAGAAAGCTCCGATTGCCCAGCGTATGCTCGCAGGTTGACGTGTGATTTGTGACAAATTTAAGGCGTTTTCCTTTGCACACATGATTCAGAGAAAGTCTGTGGTGAGAAGATGTACAATGTACAATATACACCGCTGACGAAGAGGGATTAAGTGTTCGCATAGATGTAGAGTTTAATTTAGTTGTCCCAGCGACATGGCGTTTTTATCTGTGGCCGCCATGGTGCTTGGCCGTGCCTTGCACCTGCATATATTCTATGCAGGGCGGAACGATGACGGTGTGCCCTCCCGTGCTTGCACATGCAGCTGCAGATGTATCCCAAATCGATATGATCATGAGCTATTTGCATGCTTCTGAGTCCATTCATCAGCGATGGCCCAAGCTGTGTAGTGACCTTTAAACACGGACAGCAAGCATGCAGTTCTTCCCCATCGAGGGTGGAGGGCTGAGGGTGATGAAACCGATGCGCTACCTGCTCTCGGCTCCTTGCTTGTATATATACTGCACACATTGATGAGGTCATGTCATCCATGGCAATACATGTGCATATTGTGTTGCATAGGCTCGGAGCCAGAACATCTTCGATTCCCTGAAGCCCTACGTCGAGCAGCGTTTGGGCCAGTTTCTTGACCAGAAGGACGAACACATTTCTAGGATTATGTCTAGAAAAGAATGCAGCTTTTGCCGCAGGATGCTGCCGAACTTGTGTTGATGGATGGTTCGAAGGCTGCTCGGATTAAACTTGCGCTGATCAAAGAGTGCTCATTGTGCCGTCGTCTGCTCTTTCACTTATTTGCGGAACATGCACGGGCAAGGTCGCCGAGATCGATCTTGTCCGGAACTTTAGTTGCTGAAGCCGTATGTGGTTGGTCATCTTACTGGTGATGCTGTCCCGGTGGTGGGACATAGGGTCTCTTAAGCTTGCATAAGATCGCTACAGCTCATGGTGCGGGCACATGTATCAGTGCATGGCCCATGGCTTTTCTACCAGCTGAGGCAGCCATGATGCACCGTGCGATTGTGTTTGGTTCCTGGTCTTCACGGGACCTCAGCAAACGTCAATGCCGGGCCACGGGGCTTAGATGAGTGCAGATTGATTCGATTCCACCTCAATCGCGATCATGCGTGGCATGGTCACTCAGGATCGGTGTGATTTGCAAGGCTCTCGCCTTCGTCTTCTCGGCGGCTACAGAATTCGGTTGGCCCAGTGCGCTGCCAATGCCAAGTTGCTCGTCTATGCATTTCTAGCTCCGGTACTGATGATGCTAGCGCTTAGTCTTGCTCTAAGGCTGCCGGAAGTGAATGTGTTGAGATGCCTCTTATGCTGCTCGTGGATTTCACAACATTGTGGACATGCAGATCCTGGCAAATGGTGGTGCTGTTCCAGGAATGGATTGAAGTCCGGAGGTGCAGCACGTTATACTGTGTTCCCTTGTAGTTGAATTTTATAGTACAGCAGGCGCTGGAGATCCTGGATTCCTCGGATGAAGAGGGAGGACCTTTTGAAGTGGATTCGGACCCAGCGCCAGAGCCGGAGCCCGGTCCCGAGAAGGATGCCTTTTATCAAAAAACCAGTTTCTGATGCAACTTAATATTTAATATTTAATCGTATACCATAGTTCACACAAATGATGGCTTTGCGTCGTGAACCAGCAATAATTATAAAGCTGCCTCTTGCGAGGCAACGCCATCCAAAAATGCTGAGCTGGACCATTCCAACGTTGCAAGTATTGCAAGTTCGAGCAGTGCTGGGAGTGGCACAGTGTGTGTGGTAAAGGACCAGATGTTGTTTCAGAATGTACAGATCACACATCACACATAAGGTGCACTGTTTCATTGATCAGGATCGCCAACCACTGCTGGCTTCCGGATCCTACTTGAAGATGGATGACATTGAGGATTTCGCTGAGGTTTTGGGGCAAGAGCCACTAGTCCTCGGCTATGCGAGCTGGGCAGCGACAGCTTCGTGCCAGCTCCCGCCAGGAAGCGCATGTGTCTTGTGCAACATGAAGACTGGTAGTGTATAAGTCAGCTGCTTTACATGTGCAGGAGAAAGCTGTGAAGCGGGCTGCAAAGAAAACACATGATGCTGATATCATTGCTGTGCCTCGCAAGTGTTTAAATGTATGTCGTGTTGGGGTGTATATATTGTGCACGTGTGTACAAATAAGTCAGTGGCGGCGCGCGAGTCCAAGAAGAAGGCCAAGAGTGCAGGGGTCGAAGGTGATCACGCAGATGATGTTGATCACGAGGACCAGAGCGACCCCGGTCGCGAGTGTGAAGTGGCTCAGGAGGATGTGGCTACGCAGGATTGAAAAGTGGCTCAGGGGGATGTGTCTCACCAGGAGCGTGAAGTGGCTCAGGGGGATGTGGCCCAGGAGTGTGAAGTGGCTCAGGCGGATGTGGCTCAGGAGTGTGAAAAGGTTCTGAGGGGCATAGATGATGATCTGCAGTGCCCACCAGTGCCGGAAGGTGTCAAAGCTTGCTAGGCGCTATGCGATTCACAGGCCAGCAGACCCTGAAGAGTTCATAGCCAAGTCCTGCTACGAAGTGCTTCTGAGTTGGAGGTCACCAGGAGGAACACCCGGTTACTTATAACTACATATTCGCTCGTACTCATCAGCAGTTCTTTATTAGAAACTTCCCAGCTTATACCATGTGCAGGTCCGACGCATGAAACCTGACATGCCCAAGCCCAGAGCGAAGCCCTGCAAGACTCGAAGTTCATGCTACGATAACCAAGCCCGAAGCCTCATGTGAGTAAGCCTTTTAAATTGGACACCCCTGGCCAAATACCTGGCCTGAAAGTTAACTTCATATTGTTTATAATAATGTCCGAAATTGAAAACCTACCAAAACCTGACAAACCCAAACCTCACATTACGAGGATCCTTATAAAACTCTACTACTACTACTACTACTACAACTACTACAACTACTACTACAACTACTACTACTACTACTACTACTACTACTAATACTACTACTTACTACTTACTACTACTACTACTACTACTACTACTACTAATACTACTACTACTACTACTACTACTACTACTACTAGTGCCTATTACCACTACTTTTACAGTTCCTTACTGCTATTGCTACTGCTATCGCTGCTACTGCTACTGCAGCAAAGTTTTGCTGTAGCATGTAGGCGTGGGTGTTATGCGGCTTGGAGTTCTGAAATCAGGCCGTCGGTCCCGACGGAACCGGTTACCATACTGAACCACCTCGCAAAGTTCAAGCTCCGAATGCTGGCTGGTCGTCTTCCGAAACCTAGTCAACCCGATCTGCACCTTTTTACCCGAAACTCATTGACAGGGCGCCAACCCATAAATCGCAAATTCATGGAAATGGTCGCGTCGCTTCCCACCAAGGCTTAAAGACCTCGTAGCTGGTTACCTCAAGGAGCAAAACGTTCACGCCTCGGCTTCTAAGGACTTTAAAGGGTAGGATGGCTTCGCCGCCGGCCTTGCGGCTTTGGGACCGCATGAATACGTGTTTGTAAACTTAGAGAAGAAGGGCCCAAGGCTTCGGGCGACTTTTCCCGCTGGAGACAGTCGAGAAGCAAACTACAGAAAAGCCAACTACATGGGAAGGAGGGGCTAGAGTCGGCTAGAGCATGAAAGAGACGTGTTGATAAAGCGAAACCGACATGTAGGCACATGGGGGGACTACCGCGCATATCCGGGTATATATGTAGATACACACACAAAGTATGTAGTACGTCGTATATATATATATATGGTTAATATGTAATGATGTATGTCACTGTCTGTCTGTCTGTCTGTATGTATGTATGTATGTATGTATGTGTACATATGTATATGCAAGGTTTTCTGTTGGACCAGGGTGTCAACTGTTCTGATGTCAAATGGTTTTGTTTGGCCTGTCTGGTCTGAGCCGAACTTGGCCTGGTTCGTGGGGTTTCCAGCCTTCAAATGCAGTCAAATGTAGCTCTGCAGCAGCGCACACAAGTACATAGACATAGGTATACACGCATGTGGTACCAAAACCCGCTGTGAGGCATTGAGATTATTATAGCGCTGCATAACTGGTGTAGATGTGTGCCTTCATGCATGCATGCGGACATATATACATTTTTACACATGTGTGTATACGTATGTGTTCATGCATACAGATGTACGTATACACATACACATATTATATTTTCACTTTAAGTATTAATACTATTATACGAATATTAATATTGCTATGAACATTCATGGAAATATGTATATACATATATATACATATTTCCTGTGCATACCTGTCATGCGCGCACATGTTGATGTAATGCCAAGCCGCCCAATCTATATACCTGCAATTCAGGTCGAAGACAAAGTGGAGATCCGACTGGTGGATGGCATGCTGAGCGCTGCGAATGTGGTTCTGGGCTTATTGTGCAGGGTTTGGGTGTTCAGGGTGGCGGAATGCTTGCAGAATGAGTTTTGTAACCGATTTCCAAAAACCGCCTGATTTTGTGTCCAAAATCACGAAATCTTGAATCCCACAGCCTTTGCTTGTTGGGGACCAAAGCCACTCAACAAGCCTAAAGGCGCCAAATCCTAAGCTTGCGAACCCTGAAGCGTTTCAGAGGGAGAGAGCTAGTGATGCCGCTAATTGTCAACACAGACAGTGCATCAGGTGGAGCTCAGGGTCTAGGTCCGTGTCCCAAGACCAGTAAGATGAAGCTGCAGCCCCTGTCGTCACTTTCAGCTCTTAGCCTTGCCTAACGTCCGATTTGAACGGCCCTGTGGCAGAAACTCAATTCCCTTAAGGGTAGGTTTGAAATCTCGTGCAGATTCGCCGTGAGCATGAGAATACCGCACCAGAGGCGACAATTTGGATCCAGAATTTGCGGACAGCACGCCCTAAACCCTAAACGCTTTTCTTTTCGAGGCCACCTTGGGAGAGGGCCGATACGTCGTCAACATCGCCAACGGGCCGGGTCCCGAAGCCCTGGTGCTACTCGAACACAGCGCAGCATTCCGGATTTCGCGTTTCCAACGAAATGCAGGTTCCCGAAGTATAGTCGCCTCTATCCTCATCAGACTCAGCACCAGCCACAAACACGAGCATCATCCGCACCACCTGCAGCAACAGCAGCAGCGGTAACGGCAGCTTCATGGCAATCATCAGCAGCATCAGCAGCATATTCTTCAGCATCTGCGGCATCGTCATTACCACCACCATCTTCATCATCCATCGTAAGCAGCAGCGGTCTCAGCCGCAGACTCCTCGTCATCCGCACCATCCTCAAAACAATCGCCATCATCATCATCATCATCGTCATCATCATCGTCATCATCGCATCGTCATCGTCGCCACTGCTATTAATGTCATCATCCGATGTATCACATTCCCATCATCATCATCATCATCACCATCACCATCACCATCACCATCACCATGATCATCGTCATCGCCATCGCCATCGCCATCACGGGTCTAAACACCATCATTTCCACCATCATCGTCTCTTTCTTCAACTCCAACATCAGCCTCGGCTTCATGCTCATTTACCGCTTTATCACCATCATCATTGTTGCCGTCACGGTGCTTATCACCCTTTGCTCATCCTTGAATCACTGACACCATGGCCATCACTGCTTCATGTTCAGGACGATTGTGAGCACATTGCTGGGTTTGTCACCATCATTACCACTCTGTTCACCATGATGCCCATGGTCATCTTAGTATGTCATAGTTGCACCACAACATGCTCGTCACGATCGCCGGCTGGCAAAATGCTGCAATTCGACGTGCCCTCAAAGCCCAGGGACAATCAATCAATTGTGGCACGCTCTGGGTGTCTTACCGGCTTCGCCCGTTGGGCGTTTGCTGTCATGACACATATCATCCTCATCACCTCATCTCGCTGGGTCGGTCCCCATGATCGTCATCGTAGTCGTAGTCATCGGCGTCACATTACCAGAAGCATACCCCAGTCGTCAATATGATCCACTGCCATCATGTCTCTGACAGCCGCGACAGCCCCAAGAGCTACACTAGCTGCATTGGAAGGCATAGGAACAGCAGCGGCCCAGACACCGGCATTGGCAGACATGTTGAAATTGTTCTACAGAAATGGCGACAGCAGCTCTAAAGACGCCGTAGTAGTGGCCGCAGTCGTCGCAGTCATAGTCGTAGCATTAGTATGTACCAGTAGTAGGAGTAGTGGTAGTAGTAGCAGCAGCAGCAGCAGCAGCAGCAGTAGTAGTAGTAGTAGTGGTAGTAGTAGTTGCAG